CTGTGCAATTTGGGCACAGAATTGAGCAGAACTGAGAACTGTTCTTTCCTCTCCACTTTTTTCACATTTCAGTGCTAGAGACAGGGAAAAGGGAGGAGGTGATACGTAATTAATGTAACATATAAAGAAAAAAGGAAGTCTATAATGTAAAAAATGTCATATGACTTCGTTAAAATTCCTTTAGTACGCAGCAGGGAGATTTATAGGACTGGTAGACAGAAGAGTATAAAAGAAAGATAGATTAACTTTAGCTTTGCTGGTGTCCAGTTATGCTATAAATCGCATGACTAGAGGCTTTCTCTAAATTACATCTACCTCTTGGTCTTCCTCTTCTGTCCCATATACTTTGGGTCATCCGAAAAAGAAGAAAATGCATCCTGATCTCCCTATATCCATATCTCTGTCTGGATATAAATTATACATTCATTGTGTGAATTCTTTCTCTGTACGTTAATTTTAATTACCATTTATTCCATTACAGGTTGGTCTAAAGCAAAGCTGGTCTGAAATGACAATGACACCCTTTTTCATCCAAAATTTTAAGTCAAGCAACTGTGGGATTTTTCAAGGAATGTCTCTGTTTCTGCAACCGTTCACAAGAATGGGTGGAAGAACATCTGATGAAACATGTCTTAGAAAATTAGCTGTTGAGCTACAGAGGCCCTTAGAGTTTTCTTAGCTCCAGGTCTTGGTTCCCAGTCTTGCTGACATAGAGCCTACACTCAGAGGCCACATCAGTAATAATTATAGGCACCTGGAACCGTTCTCTTTCACTGGGTCTTATCCTGCAAAGCAGAGAGGCCACAACTAAAATGCCAATTCGCAACGGTCCCTAGCTCATGTCAGTTCTCTACCTATGTCTAGAAATTGGGAGAGTACTTGTTAACTGGGACTAAAAGTCAAGCCAGGAACCACTCAAACAATTTAATACAAGAGAGAACTGAGTACTAGTGTCTGGGAAGGGTACTATTTAATTTTATAGTATAGATGTAGCCTGAGAAACAGGTCCTGGATTTGCAGCAGAAAGCCTCGAAGTCCCAGTTTTCATGTGTTGAGCTAGTGCCTGTTGAAGCTTCTAGTTTATGGCATTTGTTTTTGTGAACCAAAATGGTTAATTTTAGAATCTGAAGGGCACGTATACTGAGAAGTACTTGAAACACTTCTAGGGTATGAATACTCTTTAAGTATCACTGCTTACACTTACAAAGCTTGTTTAAAGGCAACTGTTGTCTTCAGGATCAGATTCTCAGATTGCTTTGGCAGTGAACCTATGAGCTAGCTGGTACTACCTCTACAAAAATGGGAGGTCCATGCACCAGAATCTCCTTGGTCATTACTATACTGCCTGGAAGAGGTAGGCAGTGGTAGGAAATGGTGATAGGAGAAAGGTAGATCATGCTGTGTTGAGTTGCTCTTTCAGACAAATTATGTAGCCACTGAATACAATCACTACTCTCTTTAAATGGTTTGCATATTATTTTTTAAATCTTTTTTTTTCTCATTAGTTGCTACGCATTTTTCAGTATAATTAGAAATAAAAATACTATATTCGAAATTAGATATGTTCTACTGATGACACACAACCTTGAATGAAATCTAGATCTCGTACCTTAACTACCCTCTGCTGTGCTAACAGGAATAGATAGAACTGAATATGCATTTCTTTTAATAAAGACGGTAATCTCATTTGATTCTGAAAGCACAGAGAGAGCAGGTTGCTGCATTACAATGTGCTGTTGTCTGCACAGTCACTTTCCTATTCATAGTGATTCCTTAATATTTTGAATTTCAGTCTTGAATTTATCCTAATGTTGATGTCTAACTGAACATTTATAGTGTATGATCAGAGAAAATAATGAGAGAGTCCCTGGGCTGCTCCATTCCCACATAGAAGTAATGTGAATGTCTGTGTCCTTTGTCAAGTTGTCTGGTTCATATTCATGTACAAGTGCAGTAGCTAATTTTACAGAATAAGGAGTGATACCTCTTTGCATTCCCTGGGGTGGAATCATTAGCGCAGGTAAATCTCTGTGCTGCAGCCAACAAATTTATTTGACACACAGTTTATGACCTAGTAGATGTAAATGTCTGCTGTGAAACTAATGATGGATGAAGCAAGAGAACAAGTTATCTCACAAGATTTCCAGTTGGGCTAGAAATAATCTATCCTGTGAAATGTTGACAAGTTCACTTCTAATCTTAGTTAGAAAATTGAGGTTGGAGTAGATAGTGCTGAAAAATAATGGGGTGAAAATCTGTTCTAACTTTTCAAACCATTTCCTACATCCATTCTTAACTTACTACAAAGTGCTTAGGGAGTTGCAGAGATATTCAATCACCTTCATATTAACAGAAAAACCCCATGTGCACAGCTTTTCTATGAACTATTTCCTGTGTAAAGAGAAATTCTGGCTATTACTGTCTGTATAACATAGTTTACTGTTTTCTGCTAGTATATTTAGAGATTTATTTAAGCACAAGGAACTCTTAATTGATTCTAAACAGCTTTACAGCTGTGTTTTCTTACAGCGTTACCTTTCTGACAGTATTTGATTAAAATAAAGGGAACACATAAACAGCCCTTAGTCTTCTACGCTACTCGTCTTTCCTAAAAGTTGGTGTTGTAGAGCTGCAAATGTAGGTCTACAAGAATAATCATCAAGATAATATTGATCTATCCCAGAATGGTGTGAAAAAGTTTTTAAAGTCCTTTAATGTTCATATTCCTAAGAATAGTGACTTGGGCTGTAGCTCAGAAAGAGAAGCAGATGAGAGACATGAAAAACATTTGAAGATGAATCACACAGCCTCAGGTATTTCCCAAGAACAGATTATAATTCTACTTTTTTTCCTAAAATCTGACCTAGTTGTAGTAGGAGATGGTGAAAGTCAATACAGCCAACGACCTTAAAGCTGACATATTAAAAATAGTGTGGAAAGGTCTAATTATCATAAAGGTCACAGGATAAAAATTTTGTTCCAATTCTGTTATTTCCAGGAGCCAATGGAAATGCAGCACAACTATCAAAATTCCTCAGTGGCTTTCAGAAATGCTTGACGTTTACTTTGTTGGGTCAACATTAGTAGAATTTATATTTCTTTAAATAAGGGAATTGTAGCTGAATTTTTAACAACCATGGAAGAGGAAAATTGATATATATTTAATAAAGCACTTGCTTAAAATTAAGGGCAGGAAAGCATTTCAAGGAGGTATGAAAACTGTCTGCAATATTCATCCAGCTTCAGAGAGATAAGTAAAACAAGAAATTTAATATTTCATGGAAAACTATGATTTAAGAGTAATACAGCTCCTACAAAAGGAACTATAATCAGATTTAATTCCAAAATGCTTTATATGGAGAAAATTTTACCAAAAAGCATATTTTATATGAAATAGTTCTACACAAAAACTTTTCATTTCAGGACCTTTTATATTTTTAAATAAATGTTGTTTTAGCTCAAAATATCAAATTTAAATAGAAAATATGTTTAAAATTCTTTTAAATATTTGAAGCATGAAATTTCCAATGGAAAAAACTTTTCTGTCAGAAAATGAGGGACACAAATTTTCAATGTTTCTGATTGTTAAAAAAAGTCAGATGGATTATTTTTTCCACTTTGTGTGAAATAAAAGTATCCAGTGAGTAAGCCTCAGGTTTTTACTGCAGGTTTTGAGGTCAAGAATAGCTTAAATAAAAATGTCTGGGCTTTTAGCATCACTGCGCTGGGCAATGATGCTTCCTCATTCTACACCTCAGCTTTCTACTTCTCTTTTTCCTCCACTACACTCAATTTCAGGTTAAACATAGACTTGACCAAGAACATGTGCTTCCTTGAAAGTCTTGATCACTAGGTGATTCCTTGGTAAATGGGATACGCTGTTCTGTCACAGCAATTTTACACTGAAATAACTCTGATGATTTTGTTGATTGATTGTTACTCTTTTGTATATTAGTGAAACTGAGGAGGTATTTAGCTGCAGCATTACTCAGATGGCAAGGAATTTGTTTCCTAATCAGAAGTTTTACTTTATCCATGTGATTTGTTGTAATGTCAACTTTGCAGCATCCAGTCGGAGGGCGGGATCTTTTTAATATAGGTTTGTGTTTATACAGACAGCTTCCTAAGCTCGAGCAAGGTATTCTCCACAGAAGGATCTGTGCTTCTTTCTCCACAGGTAACTGTTACATGCAATCAAAATGGTGGACATGAATTTCCTGGTATGTCTTTGAGTATGATTCAAAAGAAGAGAGTAATTTGAGAACCAGCATGACTAATGTCTATATAAGCTTCAAATATTTTTAAATTTCAAGGATAAATACACAAGCATAATATAAGTGAACTTTTAAAAAGTGTGCACAAGATTTCTAGTGTTGTTGAGAATTATAAGTACCTGCCTAAGATAAAGGATGTGCAAAAACAGATTTTCTCTTTCTCCATACAATTTTTAAAGCCAGTGTGTTTTTATACTTAGGAAAAAAAAAAAAAAAAAAAGATATATTTGAAGTAGGAAATAGACATTATCATTTGCTTTTGAAAACTCTCTTTTTGAGCGGATGGTGAAGTGGCAGTCAAAGATCAGTGTGCATTTCTCTAGATCCTAAATGGGAAGTCTTCAGAGCCATTATAACCCTCCACAACAGAATTTGACCTGTGTTCATAGTTTGTCTCTACATCTAAGTTACCATTCAAGTCTCCTTCTGTAATAGAAATATATTATTGGCTTCAGCCTCCTGAGTGGAAACTCATGTATGTTTAAAAAATGTCAGTTACCAATAACTAACTTTTTTCCTAAAATCCTCATGCATTACGGTAAGCATTTTTAGGAAAAATTTATAACATCAATTCAGCAGTGGTAAAAACTAGATAGGTGTTTTAGGTATGCTGTCCATTTTCACTGTCTATTACTCATTTTCGGTGCCTTGAAGGTGCCTTTGTAAAGTCACTCTAACTTCCAGATGTTTGGCTTACTAATATCAAATGTTTACTTTCAGATATCAACATGGCAGGAGAACCAAAACCATACAGACCAAAACCTGGCAATAAGCGGCCACTTTCAGCACTTTACAGGTAAGTGAGATTTCACCTTAACTTACTACAATCCAATTTTTATTAGAAAAATCATGGTAACCTGAAATGTACCTACTGATGTCACTGTGCAGCCCATGAGCGAGACAAAGGCATGTTTTTCCATTCACACTTTGGTGTTTGTATGAAATATAATCAAGTCCCTGTACACACTGAAAGGTTTTGAATGTGAGTGAAAGAGGCAGTATTGTAGTGTCTGACACTACATGTATCTATTGACTCACTCCAGAGCAAAATGTTCTAACTTCCGAAGATAAAGACTGTCCATATGATGCCTTAAAAAACTAACTTATGCCAAGTAGGAGAAAGCCCAGCAAACAAAATTCCTGGCTGATATTTAGATGCAATGATCACAATATGCACATAATGCCCCTCTTTTAGTTGGAAACAAACACCAGAGTTTCTGTTTGCTGTAAAAAATAAAACACTCAGGATATTTAAATGATAATACAGGCATTCAGAAGAATAGATAAAACTAAATCAGCCAGACCAGAATTTTATTTTTTAGTGAAAATACCTTATGTTTTACTGAGGCCAAAAAGCTGGTCTCTGCCTTCTCATGGATGTTATTTGCCAATGCAAGAACAATGCAAAGGAAAGGACTGCAGCTGTAAATTGTAAGAAGCATTACACATAGAGTCTTTCTATACTAAAAAGCTATTTGAAAAGATGTTTGGCAGTGACACTCCTTTAGGATGAAGGAGCAGAACGCAATCACCTTGCACGGGTTTTGTTCCAGGGATGCTAAAGGCACTGGGGTTGTGCTTGGTGAACATTAGATTATATAAGACCCCACCCAAGTGTTCAGTCCAGAATTCAAGCTTTGAATTTAAATATGGGTTGCATTAAAAAGATGTTTATTTACTTATTTATGCACTGGTAATTTAATTTTCCCTCCACACCTCCTTTTTTCTTTTTCTGAAGTGAAAATGGAAGTGCAGAAGAAGAGAAGCAGACGTTATGCCCATATAAAAGTGTAGTGTTTAACAAAATTATAATGAAGCACACAATAAAATTATAAATCTGTCATTTACTGAACCTACTGACAAAAAGACTGGTGTGGTGACTGGTGACGTGTGTATTAACACTAGAAGTGTCTCCGCTTCTAGTACTACAACCAATAATTTTTTTTGTTCTTTTTTTAAAATTGACTGCTATTTCAATTTTTAATCTTATGCTTTATTGCTTGGCTATGGCCTCGTTCTTGTGACTTCTTTATTTGCAGAATTCGGTGAAATAACTAATAATTGCAGAGCAACAGAACTGCTTTCTCATTGATTTGTGTGTCAAGGGTGAGAACCAACTTCTAACAAGACTGGACTTCTTCCTCAGGTGTTCAGGAGGGCATTGATAGTGCCTTTCTCCTATTCCCAGGTGCCTTTTTTCATGCAGCTTGTACAAAACCGAAGAAAACCCCACCTTTTTTTTCCAAATCAATTAAGCTTACTGAAGGTTTCCAGACTGTTAGGGGGATTGACAGACGTGCACACATGCATTTCTGCTCAATAAAGCTCACTTCTCATAAAAGTACTACAGAATTTATGCTCCAGATCCATGAAAGGAGTTAGGACTGATTTCTACTGTGGCTGAAATGCAGATAGACTGGCTCGGAGAACAGCTCAGTGCTGAAATCAGAGACACTTGAGCAGGACTTTTTCAAGCCTGGTCTGATCTGAAAGCTTCAGATGGAAATTCAAGGGTGAGATCTCAGAATGAGACAGCCAGGAGCATTTTAGGTCTGAGCCTGTGTGCCACCTAATAATAATGTGAAGTTTTATCATATGCCCTTCGCTGCATATTGTTTTTGGAGAAAAGAACCCCTGTTTTCAACTGCAAGCTGTTAAACTCTCTAGGTGTTACTGATAGCCATGGTCTACTGTGTCCCTGCGTCAGTATTTCAAAAGATTTTTGAAGATGTTCTGTGGTTTCTGGCATTTATATGCACTTCCACCTCTGAGCGTCTGAATGATTTCTCATAAATACTTGTTCTACAGACAAGACAGGGATAAGAGAGAGACCTGTGGAAAGTTCTGAGGGAACTTTAAAGAGAAAAAAAGATCTTAGATTGTGTCCTTTCATGGACTAAGATTATGAGAAGATTATGAGAAGCTTTTTTGAGCAACTAACAGAAGCCTTCATCAGATGGTAATGGAGAACTTTCATTATCTTAGTATCTGTTAGCATATTGGTATGTGAGGAGACCAATGGCTTATAAATGAAGTCAGCAAAAGGTTCTGCCATTCACTGGACTAGAATTTACTTCCATTTCTTCTTCTTCTTCTTCTTCTTCTTCTTCTTCTTCTCTCTTAAATGTAATTTAATATCCTAATTCCTGCCAGCTGAAGATCCCATTGACCACAACCCTTAACTGCTGGAGAGCAGACTTGCAGTGCTTGGAATAATCCCATGGGACACTGTCCCAGAGAGAAGAGGGGGCCAGGAGAGCTAGCTGGTTTCCAAGGATCACGTCCTTCAAGTTCAAGTTCATCATCCTGATGAACAAGAAATCAAGCAAAGGTAGCAGGTGGCCCGCACAGATGAACAAGGAGTTCCTGAAAAAATTAAAACATAAAAAAGAGGCATAAAAATGTGGAAGTAGCAACAGATGGCCTGGGAGGTATATAGAGACATTGTGTAGGAGTGCAGGGACAGAGTTAGAGTGCTGTGGGAGCAGGTCAATGTCATTGCAAGGCCACTCAATCCATAATAAAATAACCTCCATTTTGGATTAGGCCTTAAAAATACTTGGAGAACAGAAAGATTTAGCCTTTGCTTCAGAAAGCTGCTAAACATGTTATTAACTTTAAGCATACTCATGGAACAACTACAGATATGCTTAGGGTAGTGCTCAGCAATCAGCTTAAATCTAACATAACTGTTAGCTCCAGCAGCATTCCTCCTGATTTGCGTTGCTGTTCAGTATGTGAGGGGGGACTTAAATCCCAGAAGGTTCAAAATTGTTGTGAATTTCCTTTTTTAGCACAGCACTTCTGCAGAAAACCAAATGCCTGACAAATCTGCATCTTAAAATTATTTTACATCTTATTATTTGGGTCTAGCCTCAAGCAGAAGTTAATTTTACTGGCTAATCTTCATATCTTTGAAACACAAGGTGAAGATTAAAGGTGCTGACACAAATGTGTTAAAGCACTCTTTGGGAGCATTGTTGTGGTAAAATAAAGGATCACACTTTGTCTTTTTAATTTAGTGGTGTTTTGATCAGTATTTCACTAAAGCAGTTCTGTGTCAGCATATGAAAGTCCATTTAGTGTTTTTTTCCTCTGGGTTTATGCCCAACATACCAAAGTAGAATCAACCGCAAATACTCTGGTGGATCGACATTCTGTTTCTCTACATCATAACAGAATATTTTAACTATTTATTGTTCATTTCAGTCCACCACCATGTTATATGAGGTGTTAAATACACGGTCTGAAAGCTTTTTCTCCATTTCAGAGGTCTTTGCTGGGGTTATTAAAATAGGACGAGGCTCTTTTCTAGTTCTTAACTCTGGAGGTTGCTAACAGCTCCAGGGGTGGGCCCGAGCCCCAGGCCAGGCGGAGCAGAGCGGCAATGCACACACTGCCTGTGGTTTGCCTTGCCTCAAGATGGATTCACCATGTCCCCTCTGTACGGCTGTCAGCATGGGGGTCTGCTCAAAGTCTTCTCTGTCAATCATCTAGTGGTAACAAAGATGGATTCGAGAAGAATGAATTTTTTAGTGTCTTGAAATAACAAAGAGACTGTGCTACGGGCTAGCAGAATGGTGGGATTTTTAGTGGCATGAAAATGAGCGCAGCTACTGCAGGCCCTGCTGTGTGAGGTGCTGGGGAGGACCTGCTGGAGACCGCGCAGGGCACGGGGAGCCAAAACCAGTGCACTGGTACAAGTCTGAGGGAGTTGGAAGCAAACTGCCCCAGATCACATCCAAGTCTGCTTTCTGAGAAAACTAGTTTGTTTACCAAAGACGAACCCTCCAGGAGTGAACTAATATTTGTGTAATGTAGGAAAGCAGGGGACTAGGATTTGGAAGTAAACTGGGAAGGCAAATTACTCAGCCCTGCTGGGGTATCTAGTCACTCTCTTTGCTCTACACAATTTAATATTGTAGCTGACCTATAAATATTTCCAAGACCAATTTAGCTAAGACTAACCCTCACCATGTGAGTTATTTTCACTCTTGCCAAACTCCAACCTTCCTCGTAAGGCCACAATAAGCAAAACTGGCCTTGCCCCAGTGCCACATCTTGGAGGCCCACTGAGGAGTTATTCAAGTCCCACTCCTCCCAGTATTCCCATTGCTGGCTGGGCATGAAGCCTCCTAGCCTGGGATCCACCAAGCTGAGGCACGTCCTGGAGTGAGACAATTAGCAGGATGGATTTAGTGGATGGATTAACAAGACCAGGAAATACTGAGTGAAATCGTCTCTCGCCATGTTACCTTGGCTGGCCAGATCTCCAGCCTGTGGTGGTTGAGTTCCTGCAGCACTGCCCATTAGCACACGGTGGCCCTGGCAAAGGCTTCCCTTGAGGGCAAGTTCTTTCCAAGCTGGTCTCTGTGCACTCCCTGGGTGGTATTAGATACCACAGTCATTTTCCATTCCCAACCACTTCTCCATGTAATGCAATTGAACTGTATATTCAGCATGCTTGATTTAACATGCTGCTAATTAGCCATATTAACACCCTTTACTTTATAATTTTGTAAGTCCCGTGGCCTCTGGAGGAAATTATTTTATTTAAAAGTCTAATACTAATATACTGGAAAGAGATGCTTTTTTATTTACAGGGCATGATTATCTTCTTATATAAAATTTTTATTTTTCTTTGAAAAAAATACTTTACCTGTTTCCTCAGTACATTTTACATTTATAATCTCCATCACAAAACTGATTGGATTATGTTACACATCTTGCATTTCCTTTGGTTTTACAGTTCTATTTTACAGCAGAGGCTTAAAAAATTGCTTACAGTCCTTCTCT